AATTATACATCTTAATGGTTAAAAGATTTATCAGTGTCCTGTTCTCTACAAACTCCCAATAGCTAGTAGTGAAAATAGTCCATTGTATTCAACTCCTGCCATCCTTTAAATAAGGAAAAATGAAGATAGAGGAAATGTGTCTTATTGTTAGCTGCTGATGTTGGAGCATCATTGTGGAAGAGATACAATCCAAGACTGTCAGAACGTTAGCAGAAATAATAAGCAGAAAATCGACACTCTTCCCAACATGGTCTTGATCAGGAAATGTCTATTTTCTTTTTCCACACCTACCCTCACGCTTTCATTAAGAAGATTGTTTTACACACAACTCATTCAGTTAATGTTAGCCTTAAACAATCACTCCTACAGCTGTATATAAGAGTTTTGCCTAAGGTACGAAGAGGGTATTTCCTCCATTCAGATACTTGCAAGACACACTTCTTGGATTAAAAACAAAACTGAACAGTTTAGAGCAAATCAACCAGAATATTCACACCTTGATCAACCTGCAGAACCATTCAAGAATGGAATATGTGTCTGTCTGTATTGCGGCTTGGGGTGAAGGGGGGAAGCACAATAGCTTTATTCCAGCAGACAAAGAGACAAACCTTTGCAGCCTAAAATGAGAACAGGATAGGCAGGATGTGTCAGGGAGCCCAGACTAGTTGGCAAGGAGCAGTGGAGCATCTCTCTCAGCCATAGGTGACTATACTTCATTTTAAAATTGACTTGCAATTTTTAAGAGAATTGTGGCAAACCCTTGAATCTAGAGTTTCTCCTTACTTTACTAAAATAGCTAAATCAAACCGCACCGTTCTTCATTCTGTATTCCACCTTGCTCTGTGTTTGCAAAGTAATAATGATCTCAAGAACTTCGTACGAAAGTATTCTGTCTAGGTTGTCTCACAGACAAGAATTTTGCCTCTATTGGAGTAACCAAAATGATATTCGAGGATTTCACTTTCACATCCACACAGAGGAGGATAACAAATAATGCTCACTGCAACTGGAACTCAGTTCTACTGGGTTTCTGGTCCTATACAATCCAGAACACAACAACTCTCCCAACTCGTAAGAAAACCCCGCAGAAAACATTCAGGACTGAGCACAAAGCAATTTAGGACACAATAAAAGGTGGATTTTCAAACTATAAGCCCTCCTCCACTCCCTTTCTTTTCTCCCCCACTACCAATGCTTCTTCACCATCCTTCTTCCCTCCCTCCCTCCCTTCCACCCCCCGGGGTCGAAACCGTAGACAAAGGCTCAAAAGCGAGGAAATGTCCAATTCACTCCTCTTATAGTTTATTAATTACCCACCCCCATCGAAAAGAAACTTGTATCTGTTCAATAATTAAGCCAGGGCAATCAAGCGTGCGCTGGAGGCTGTGTGAATGCAGCCTTACAAGGCGTGAGGTAATGGAGCAGCGGATCTCTTCCAAGGGCCCAGCGAGCCAAGGTGGGCTGCGCTAGCGCGAGCCCATGGTTTCCCCTTCAGAACCTGTAGCGACCTGCAGCACCTTGGAGGTTCGGTTGCCAGACAGCTATGTAGTGCATTGCACTTTCTTTTTAGTTCTCCCCTCCCCTTTCCCAAACCCTCCTCTTTCTTTTGTCTGGTGCAGTTCAGGGTGAGGACAGCTTTGTGAATCAGATAACCCTCAAAATGAATTTTTCCTGACTCCCCAACATTTTATTCCTTTCCCAGAAACTCACATAGCTTAAAATTTCTTGGGGAGTGCAGTTATTACAGTACTCAAATCTAATGCAATGTATTCCTATCATTATTACTTTATGGGGCAATAAAGATAGCACCTATAGTCTATGCCTATAGTCATATTTGGAAATGCAATAACTAGATCAGGAAATAACTGAACAGTTTTTAACCCTTAGCAATTGTTTTATGCTTATTTAATAATGCATGATGCAATTGACTTTTTCACAGGCTCCTTAGATTTTAGAGAATTTTTATTTGATTTCAGATGGGGTTAAAAAAAGACATTACTCCAGGAGTCAGGATGGTCATAACAATAGTATGAAAAAAGTAAACAAAATGAAAATGCTTTTTTGAGCTGACTGCTCCAGGAAGTTGATTATCAATCCCTTTGGCCTAAAATCTAGGCCTATCTTAGAGTTATTTGGTTGGTGGTTATGGGCCTGTTATTGGTGTTGATCCAGAGTTTTTGGTGTGTGTGTGGGGGGGGGGTGTTTAAATATCCTCTAAGGGACAGAACTCAGAAATTGGCATCCAAGTGTACTTGCCTGAGTCAATAATCTTTTTACTGTGTGTATTAAATCACAAATTGTGGAATATTCATAAACCAACACATAAATACTTCCCTTGCCAATCAGAACAAAAATGCATATTACTTTCTCTGAGATTTTTTATTTTTTCTTTTTTCTTTCTCAGGGTTTCCACAAAGGAATTGATCAGTGAGGTATGTTTAAATTAAGACATTATTAAATAGATGACAGATACATATCATGCTGTGTTTAACAAGAGTTGTACAAGGAGGCGTGTACAAGATTCCACACAGCACTACGGCACTATTACTCCCATTTACAACTTTTCCTTCATGCATTTGACCATTAACCATTAAATTTCAGTAATTCAATAAAATAGAGCAGTTATAATTTTGAGGAAAAGCTATTTTGAAGGGCAGAGGGAAGTCCTCATTTTATAGCACAATAAAAATACTCAACAGCCCATTTTAAAGGGCAGCATGTGTTTATTTTGGTTCTTTACCTATAACGTGTAGGACTGAATTCAAAGCCATGCCTGTCTAAGCACTAAAGTTCATTGCTGAATAAATTCAAATGAGATAATTTCATCCATAGAACTTCAGGATGAACTAAACAAGGCCAATTAAGGTAGTATAGCTTTGAATTTAAAATTAGTCCTCTAAGTCATGACTAGGTGTAGATAAAGAAATGGAAGGATAGTCTGTCATACTTGGCCTTCTTTGTGAAAAGACTGTGAAACTCAGATCTATATTGAGGCAATAAAGGTAAGCATCTCTCCCATTCCACTTTACCTCCCAGTGATATTTCCTAAGATAATTTTCATTTGACTTCACCTCAGGCTTTACTTATTTTTCCTGTTCAAACTTTTTCAAAGGTTTGGTTTTTTTTTTTTTAAGAAATTGAAATTTGGTATTATATTCTTTGCTTAGATATCAGATTTAGAAGAGACATCTCATTTCTCAGGTCATAGTGGGGTAATGAGTGAGTTTTCAAATTGCTGTGATTCATGCCAATTTTCATGTCACCACCTCTTTTGCTCTTTATATAATACTGTACCACAGTTGCTTTGTCCAGGAAGGTTTCCTTGCTACTCTCGGTAAGATAATCTATTTTGACTTGTTGAGGCCTTGTCTATATTTCTAAACAGAAAATTGATATTTAGCTTCAAGTGTCACCCACTGTCACAATTGTTGGGGAAAAACTGGCTGCACTGATTTAAAACAACCCCCCCCCAAAAAGGTGAGCTTGATTTCTGAGCCTCCTTGTACATACTAGGTAAGGGGAAGCCTTCTTGCCCAGAATTTGAAAGTCAGACACCTAAAAAAAAAGTAACCTTACCCAATCTTACTTTGCTAAACAGAAACACAAAACCTGGTGCACACCTGTTCTCCACTAAGGCTGAAGTGAAAGAAAATAATGGGAAATTCCCCTTTGAAAGCAGTTGAGGTACCTTGCAGATACTCATGGTCCTTAAGGTTCTCAAGCAAGGCATCTATTAGAGATGTTTGTAAGAAGAAAAACACCCAAAGTAAAAGATGACATATTAGATGCTAAATTGATAAGGATATTTTTTCATGATATTAGAACATTTCTAATATAGAGTAAATTTGAAAAACCATGTACAAATATGTTGGGTGGCTTTGACCAGAAGGAGAAATTCTGCTAAAAATGATTGTAGCTATATTCATTAGCTCGGTGAGATACCATGGGGCCAGTTCCGAGACTATCTTCAAAAGGTAAAAGTTAGACTTTTTTACGATTTGTTTTTGTACATCTAATTGGAAGTAGCAGATTTGGAACTGCAAAGTAGCAGAAATTACACTTCATCGTCTTGAAACCGTCTTGAAAAGGAGTCCATGAACTAAAAAGTTGAGATAAAATTTTTACTTGTCCCGAATGACTCTATTTACATCATCAAATCACTCAGGTTATCCAGAAATCAACTAGTAGGTGCTATACTATACCCTCCAAAAATACCCACTTCTACTGCCATTTAACTGTAACCTTGGTCTTTTTACTGTGACACATTCCATTTCTTCTCTCAAATAAAAAGTTTCAAGAGGCATTAATTCAGGTGAGGTTAAGTGAATAAGTGTATCCACCTCCCAAGGACAGCTCTTGAGGGTTGAAAAGAGTACAGAAGAAAAAAAGAGGGCGGAAGGGCGGAGGAGTTCAGGAGAGCGAGCTTTGCTTTGACCGATAGTGGGATAGTGATTGCGTTAGAAGTTGTGAAATCTTCCTAGTCACGGTTGTGAACATCTCTCTTTAATTCGCAGCAGAAGGGCCGGCTAGCTAAATTTCAGCCTGATAAGAGGGGATGTGCTAGATCCCTGAGCTGGGCGTTTGCAAGGTGCATCAACATCATTGGCCATCAGTGGCTGAGGCACTCAGCTCCGCACTCGCGCGTCGCAAACTTTCTACAAGTACAAGTTTTCCACAGAAAGGAAGGGGGGACTGGGGGCACGTAGGGAGGAGGGGGCGGGAGGCAAGTGGGGCTAGAAGAGAAACCAAAGATTGAGGCTAGCATGAGGGCGGATGCCCGCTGAGCCGCGGGCCTGAAAGGGAGCCAATCGGGCAGCCCCGACTGCTGCCAATCAGACGACTCCCTCCAATCCCACCCGTGCCATTTCCAAAATCTCGGTCCCACTGAGCAGCTCAAATGTGGTGTTCGTTCTGCCAATCGCTGGAGGACAGAGTAGGGAAAGGAATAAGCGGAGTTAGGAGACAAGGACAAAAGAAGTTAAAGAGCGCTTAATATATACATGTTTTTGAAGGCAGGCAGAGGGGAAAAAATAACAACAGTGAGGGTATATGGTTCTGATTGTGTAGTATTGATGGAGCCCCCTTTGAGCAAGAGGAATCCGCCGGCGCTGAGATTTGCGGATTTGGCAGCGGCTCAGCCCCATGCTCATCAGAGTATGACAGGCTTCCCCGGACTGGGGAGTCAACCCGCTCACTCCCACCACCACGCTGCAGCAGCTGCAGCCGCCGCTGCAGCTGCAGCTCACCTCCACCCCCGGGATCTGGGGAGTGACCCTGGAATGGCCCTCACTGCGTTCGGACCCGAGCACATGGCTCAGGCGAACGCGCTCAAACTCAGTTCTCCCTCCCAGCCGCCTCCAACGCACCCTGAAGCCCCGGCGGTTGCAGCTGCCACTACCGCGTTCTCCTTGAAGTCCGGCGCGGGCAACTACCCCAGCGGTGGGGGCAGTGCAACGCAGTCTGCACCTCCTCCCCCAGCCCCTCCCCTTTCCTCCTCCTCTTCCCCCTCTCCCCCTCCCCCTCCCCCTCCCCCTCCTCCTTCTGCCCTCGCGGGCTACACCGCCACCAACAGTGGTGGTGGCGGCGGCTGCGGCGGCAGTGGCAGCATTAGCGGCAGCAGCAAGACCAACAACAGGGACTTCATCCTCAGGAGAGACCTTTCCACCACGGCCCCCGCTGCTGCCATGCACGGGGCGCTGGGAGGGGAGCAGCATTCCCGGGCGGGCTCCCCCCAGCACCCGCCCCCGCCTCCCCACTCTGGCAGCATGTTCATCTCCTCGACTGGAGCCTATGCGGCCCCGGATGGGTCTGGAGGAGGTGGCGGCGGTGGTCCCGCGCTGTTCCCTGGGCTGCATGAGCCGTCTGGGGGCCCCGGGAGCCACCCCCACCCGCTGAACGGCCAGATGCGCCTGGGTTTGGCCGCAGCTGCCGCGGCAGCCGCGGAACTGTATGGCCGTGCCGAGCCCCCCTTTGGACCCCGCTCTGGAGACTCGCACTACGGGGCAGCAGCGGCCGCCGCAGCAGCTGCCGCCGCGGCAGCAGCTTCCCTGCACAGCTACGGCTCCTTGAACTTAAACCTGAACCTGGCAGCGGCGGCGGCGGCGGCGGCAGCGGGGCATGGACATCACCATCACCACCACCATCCTCCACCTCCCGCTCCTCCACCACCTCCGCCTCCTCCGCCTCCTCCTGCTCACCACCCCCACCATCACCACCCCCACCACCCCGGGTCGGCGGCTGCGGCTGCAGCCGCGGCCGCAGGGGCCTTCCTCCGGTACATGCGGCAGCCAATCAAGCAGGAGCTGATCTGCAAGTGGATCGACCAGGAAGAGTTGCAGCAGCAGCAGCAGCACCAGCACCAGCAGCACCCGCCGCCCCCCGCCTCGAAGCCTTGCTCCAAAACTTTCACCACCATGCACGAGCTGGTGAACCATGTCACAGTGGAGCACGTGGGGGGCCCCGAGCAGAGCAGCCACGTCTGCTACTGGGAGGACTGTCCCCGGGAAGGCAAGCCCTTCAAGGCCAAGTACAAGCTCATTAATCATATTCGTGTGCACACGGGAGAGAAGCCTTTCCCCTGCCCCTTTCCCGGCTGCGGGAAAGTCTTCGCCCGCTCAGAGAACCTCAAGATTCACAAGCGCACTCATACAGGTGGGTATCTCTCCCTAGGCTGTTGCTGCTATAGCAGCCGCTGCCGCCGCCGCCGCCGCCGTCGCCGCCGTCGCCACTGTCGCCACTGCAGTCTCCCGTCTCCCTCCTCCGCCGCCGCCGCCGCCGCTTCTGCTGCTGCTGCTGCTTCTCCTTCTTCTGTCCCGCTCCCCCCCACCCCCCCTCTGCTGTTTTTTTTCGCCTCCCCATTACCCCGGCCCCTGGTGTTTTTTTTTTTTTTTCCCCCCCCCCCCCCCCTTTTTTTTCCATGAATAAGTAATTCGGTAGCATACTCAGGACTCACAGCGCTGTGTTTTCAACACGGCGAAAAGTCTCCAGTCTACCCTCCAGCCCCACTGCCCGGGACAGGCAAACAGCTCCACCAACACCAAACCATCACAACACTACAAGCAGCAGCAGCCCCGGAAGGAGGAGGAGAAGTGGAAGGAGCTACGAGGACGGTCTGCAGTCCCCCACCCCCACCCCATACCCCGTTCCTTCTCTTTTTCCTTCTGGAATTGGCGGGAGGTGGGGAGGGTGTAAAAGGTGGGGGGAGGTAAGCAAGGGTGACTCACTTGTTTTCACCCACTTCCCCTTACCCCCAGGTCCAGAGTACACCACTCTGGAGTTTTGTTGTTGTTGGGGGAGGGGGGATGTTTTCGTCTGAAATTCCAGACTGATGGAAAGCATCTTCGAAGAAAGGGAGGACCCGAGAACCTTTCCTCCCCCCTCCCATAATAATTATGTGGGAGGTGAGAAAACTTTTTAAAGTGTGAAGTCCCTCTCGTACCCAGGGGAGTGGACGGAGAAATTGGTTTCTGTCCTCTTTTAGAATGTTTCTAGAGTCTGGGGGAAGTAATAGAGAAGAAATAAACTCCAGACTCATGTCTGTGTTGGTCATCCGAATAGAACTTTGGGCAAGAGATGGTATGTAGAGGGAGCTTGCTTCAGTAGGGAAGCCTACGGTAAATTCTCTTAGACTGGAATCTTTGGGGGGTTATTTAAAAGGCTGTTGCTAAATTGTGATGGTTGTATCGGAGGTCTCTCCCTCCAACCCCCCTCCTTAGAGGACATGCGTGAGGGTAGAAGCTCTGATAAGATTGAACTGAGCTGGGATTTATAGTGACAGACAAATATTAGCCCTCGGAGGATACTTAAGGAACTGGAGTTTACATAATTACTTTCCTGATTTATCGGGTGTTTCTGTGGAGAGGAAGGCTGATTACGTACCACTGTAGTCCAAATGTAAAGGCAAATGGCCCGTGGTTGAAGGGATTATAGATTTTATCTGCAGAATTTGTTTTAGGAGTCCCGGATTGTTTCTGGAAAGAAGTGAAGTAATCCAGCCCCCTTTCAGCTCCTAGAGCCAGCGGTCATTTCTCCCCTTAACTGACACATTTAAAGCCCCATTCTCCTTAGTGTTGTGGACACTGTTGATCACTGCTTGGAGGGGGAGAGGAGATTCTTGGACAAGTCTGGTTTCCTAATTCTTTTCAAATCTAAATGCATCGACCTTAATATTTGGAAAACCAAAATCTCAACAGCACGTCTTTGTTCCTGCCTCACAATCAACCCACTCCTGAGTAGCAGAGAGGGCCCATGACTGGGAGAAGTATTTCTTCTGCAACTATTTCAACTTTCCTTTCTATCCATTCTCTTATCCCACTCCCTTAAAAAAAAAAAAAAAGATCGAATACTGTTTGAAGCTTGTAAGCTTTCTGCCTTTTGAGCCCTATGGAATGGGAAGTTAACCCCTTCCCTGGGAAGACCCTAGGGACAGCAAAAGGCTGAGTTTTCCAACCAAAGGTCCAGATTACTTTCCACTCTTTGAAAAGCATGGAGACTTCTGATTTACAGCTCTTGAAATCAGACTCTTTCTGAGTAATGCTCCCAAATTTATTCTTCTCCACTTCTCTGAACTAGAAGTCTTAGGTATCTGTCCTTTTTGCTGTTGGGCATTGCTTTGGGAGCTCCTACTTTCCAGGACTTCCTCTTTCAGTTTTAAGTCCTATCTAGGCTTCAAGGGTACAATGTAGGGCTTGGAACATTTTAAGATTTAATTTTCTTGCTGAGGTGCCCTGGTGCAGAGCTTACAGGCCTGGAAAGGCCCAAGCTCAGCTGCTAACTCCAGCAATTAGAAGAACCTACCTAGGAGCTTACAAAAAGTTCTCTGAGGGGCTGTGGGACCACCTTGACCTCTTTCTGAAAGACAGAAGCCCAGGTAAGGCAGGTCCACCTAGGGTATATCATAGACTAAGGTGAGGCCTTGTAGATACACAGAAGCCAAGAACCTCCAAGGACCAGGCCCAAAGATCAGACTCCTATGTTGACAAGGGTTCTGGGGTTTTTTGTTTTCTTTCTTATTCTTGTATAAATAATTTATTTTATTTCTTTCCCGTTCTCTCCTCTCCCTCACCCCCAATAACTGAGGGCGAACATCTTAAGAATATACATCCCGAGAAGAGACAGTAGAGTATTTTTTTATACTTCTCTTATCTTGGGCATAAGGGAACTTATGGCCCCAAGAAAGGTCACTGTGACCTGGGAATAAAAGGAAGGCCGCGAATTGTCCACCATAGAACTGCTATGGTCTCCTTCCTCCCAAGCCAGAGGGCCTTGAAACTTTGGGAAGCATCCCAGAGTTCCCACCGAGATTCTACCCTACTGGCTGAAGTGAGAGGGGAGTGGGCGGGAAAGCTGGGGGTAGGGGGTGGAGGGTGAAGGGTGGGGGATGGGGGGAAAGAAACTTATTTACAGTTAAAAAGAAACAAACTTTTGCATGTAAATACTTATAATTGCCTGGACCTGTGGTTGTACTTCCCCCTGGGTAACTGAACCCTAGCACACAATGTGAGAGGGGAAACCAGCCATTTCAAATTCAAACTCTCTTACTCAGGGCTTTTATTTGTCGTCTTTGGTACGCTTAGCTGTGGCTTTGTGTGTTCTTCGCCTACAGCCGCTTTCCCAGGGGAGCTACCTCGGTTTATCCGGTGTTTGCAGCATTTCACTACCCAGCCCCACTTTTACCCCTCCCCCACCCCTCAACTATTTCCATTTTTAGGGCTGATTTGGGCTCCTTGGGAGAAGTTCTTTTCTCTTCTACTTAGTGTTTTTCTCCGTTCTTCTAAAGCAAGTAATTCATGATTCTCCTCAAAAAGACCAATTTCAGAACATGAATGGCTGCGGGAGTTGTTTATAGCATGCTTCTGTTGAAAGATGGATGGGCTTGATATCCGCATCTGGGCAGTCGAGAAAGCTTCTGTATAGTTCCGGGTTGGACTTGAGAGCCTTCAGGAGAGGCATGGTGCCTGCCTCAGAATCAGTTCTTCTTGGAACATAGTTTAAACAAGTTAAGTTATGACCCCAATCATCCATCTAGAGTGTAATATCGACATAAGCATCTTTTGGGGTGTCTCTCTGGTACCAGTAAGCAATCTAAAAGAAATAGCCAGTATTCTTAGTCCTTTTTATTTTTTTTCACTCTTACCCATAATCGCTCCCATCCCACTTTTCCACCGTTCAGTCTATACTTTGTCCTGGGTCTTCCAGTACCAATTTCTGTTTCTCCTGCACATTACAGGAGCCAGTTTTCCTTCCCTGCTTATCTTAATTATAGTTTGTGGAAAACTATTTAAGCTTAGCATTTGTGAAATCTGATATGAATGTATCAAAATCCTGACAGAGGTTTTGAAAAAGACCTGACAACTTTTTTTTTTTTTTTGTATCTAATCTCTGAAGGGTTTTAAAGGATGTAATTCTAGTTATGAACACTGGTGGGGGGTTTTTCCTGTGTGTATTTCTGTATGCATAGGTACAATATATTTGAAATGTTTACTTACATTTTCTTAATATTTTCAGGTTGAGTAATTTATTTTCTGAATATCTGAACACACTTATGTTTCCTTGAGCACTCAGGAATTTGGACATTTTTCGACCTTAAAAACAACAACAAAAAACTCAAAACGTCATGAAAAATAGAAAACATCTTAACTTAATTAAGACGAGATACTCAGATATTTCAATGCTGGAAAAGGCCCATTGTGGAGAGGAGATTTCTTAAGAATGAAGTGGTACAAAAAAAGATCCAGACACAGCAGTGGCTTTCTGTCAGGGAGAATAGTTGAACTCCCATGTCAGGGACCCTAGCCCCACTTCAACTCCCATTCCAAGCCCTCTTTGAATTTCTGTAACTTGTTGGAGAGAGGGTGTTGGTAAATATGTGTTTGATACTATGGAATACAATTTCAGATTTTTTAAAATACTACTTTTCCAGCTATGGATTTAAAGTCGCCTAGGAAGTAAGGAGAAAAAGAAAAATTAAGTTGTTATAGATTCTACCATCTTCTGTTAACACAAAGGTGTGACTAGATCTCTCATTTTCTAGTATTAAGGAGTATTTGTACTTGCAGAATAGATTTTTCTGGAGTGGAATCTTATGTACAATTCATACATGAAGAAGCTGTAGAATTATGTTCCTAGAGTAGTGAGAACAGCCAGAATCTGGCAAACATTCTATGTGTCTTTTAACTTTGAAGCAATGTGGAAAGCTATGAAATTAGGCCTGCTTATATACTTTTCAGTGGCACATTGTCTCAAGGTAAATGGATGAAGCTGTACACAGCTACTGCTTTCTTTATATTGGTGTTTGTTGCTATTCTATTGTGTCATGCTCTGTATCACACTGCAAGTTGTGAAGAAAGCTGGTAGATGGCAGAGATCAGCAGTGCAAGGATGTCCCAGTTAGGCTTGTGAAAACTCAGTGGTGAGATTGTGTGTTTTACAGGTGCTTTTTTTTTTTTTAAGAAGAGAGATTGTTTTATTTCCTTCTTCCCTCCCCCATTCAACATCCTCTTTGATTTCATTCCACCGGTGAAATTGAGGGGAAGGGGAAGGGCACTATTTGGGACCAAAAAACACAACCATTTTCTTTATAATTCTTCTATAGCTCCGTTTGAATTTTAATGTGGTATATGTGTTTCTTTTCCTACTGTGGCTTTGAAAGTGTGGTGTCATTCATTGGTGTTCTTAGGGGAGTGGATCTCCAGCTTTCTACAAAGTTTTTGTTTTCTTGTGTGTCTGCAGTTGATATATTATGTGTGGAAAAGGTGTAAGAATGTGAGCAATGAATATTTCATGAATATGCCTCTTGGTTCACATATATACGTATATATACACATTAAGGTATATACATAACATTTAAAAATATATATAATTCATATTTATATGAGGCTTTACAATATGTTATTGCTATGGTGCTTCTTTTGCTACAATCTTACTGCATTATTTTGGACCCTACACCATTATTTCTATTTTCTTGTGCTCTAGGGAAAACTCTTATGCCAATAAACTCTATGCCCTCACCCCAGTTTGCAACCTGCAAAAAAGGATTAGCCTAATTTGTTGGCCTGGTTGTGAGTTGTAAAGGGAAATGAATCTTCATTTATTCTTCAGGATTTCACAATCAAGCTGGAGACTTCTGGAAAGCAATTGCTAACCTTGTCTATTCTCTTGTTTCAGGGGAGAAGCCCTTTAAATGTGAATTCGATGGATGTGACAGAAAGTTTGCCAATAGCAGTGACCGAAAGAAGCATTCCCATGTCCATACCAGTGATAAGCCCTACTACTGTAAGATTCGAGGCTGTGACAAATCCTATACACACCCTAGCTCCTTGAGGAAGCATATGAAGATCCATTGCAAGTCTCCTCCACCTTCTCCAGGTGCCCTTGGTTACCCATCAATGGGGACCCCAATAGGAGCCCCCTTGTCTCCTGTCCTGGACCCAGGCAGGAGCCGTTCTGCCACTCTTTCCCCTCAGGTCACCAATCTCAATGAGTGGTATGTTTGTCAGGCCAGTGGTGCCCCAAACCACCTCCATACACCTTCCAGCAATGGAACCACTTCAGAATCAGAAGATGAAGAAATTTATGGGAACTCTGATGCTGTAAGAACTATTCACTAGAAATAATAATACTAGTCAAAATAATAAAGGTTTTCAATATGGAAGTCTTTGGACTATTTCCTGAACTGAGACAATGTAGAGCCTGAAACAAACCGATGGCTCAGACATGCCACCTGGTTTAACTAGTCCTATTTATTCTGTATGAAACCCTATGGTGTTTGTATACTTAATTTAATTAAGATACTTGGAACTTTTTTTTTCTTTTAAAAAAAATTTACCAAGCTGGACTAACTCAGTGAACTAAGTTGTATGTTGCAGGGGGATAGGGGATGGGGGCTAATATGCCCAGGGAAATGAATGGACAGACAGATCAGTTTGTGGAGATACACACTGCCAGTGTCAATGCACTAGTCCTTGTAAGGGAGGAAAAGAGTATTGAGGAAGGACTGAGACTACAAGCTAAGAAGGCCCTCTGCATTTCCTGGAGTGCCTCTCAAAAACCTTTGACACCATTCTGTGGGCTGCTTTTTAGCCTAGTTAGGCCCTGATTCTGCAATGGCCTCTTGATTGTAAACTACCAACTGCTGCATTGCCAACAGAGCTTGGACCACATATGAGTCCAAAATATTTGTAAAACCCTTCTTTCAGTTCTGAGATTTTGTAATTTTTTACTTTCTACTCTTAATGTCACTGGCCTCTCCATAACGTATTTTTATATGGAATTATTTCCTTGCTCCCTAAGTTGTATGATTTTTTTTAAATGCAGCAATCTTAATCTATCTCCATGTTTTATACTACTGTGATGATTCAAGCAAATCTGGAGAGAAAGCTGCTGCTATTTGACAACTGTGATACTGTGATATTTTATAAAATTTGAGAAATTCAAGTGCTTTCTTTTGATTTTGCTAAGTCTTTTTTTTTTAAACCTGGAAAATCAGATGCTGCCTCTTTAATGTGTCCAAACCACTTGTGTAATAAATAGAATATGTCATTATGTCATCAGTTCTTGGAGATGCCAAGGTAACAGTCAAATCTAAGAAGCTGTGATGCTGGTGTTATGCCTTTTTTTTCTCCTGAAAGTTATTTTTAAACAGACCAACTCCTCTTTTATACTGTTGTGTATCAACCCTTTAAAATGCTTTATTTTTCCAAAGCCTAAATCCCTGTTTGTATTTTTTTCCACCTGAACACTGAGCACACGAAACTCATGCCATTTGAAAATGACAATGTGTAATGTGTGATTTACATTAAAGGGGGGGTTGTTATAAATATTAAAACATTTAAAAGGTTTATAGTTACAGCCAAACAGTGATGAATGTGTGGCCTTTGCCATAGCTGTCAAGCTAGGAAATAAAAGGTCAAGGACCTAGGACAATAACTCTTAGTCAATTTATTTTCGGTTGGTACAACACAACTCATGTGCAAAATGTTAGTCCATCATAAACATCATACAGATACACTAAAGAGCACTAATTTATCCTCAGAGACCCTGAAGACACCCCCTCCCCAGGGTTTATAAAAATTTGTTTTGTGTGTTGTGAGTGGTTGATGTAGTCTTGTCGTTGTTAATAACTTGTATGTGAACACTATTATTTTGTACAGTTGAATTAATTTATTTTCAGACACCATCTCCCCCCTTCCCCCTCCATCCTTATCCCTACCCTCATCCTGGAAGAGTACAAAGCACACCAAAGAATTATATTATAAATTTTGGTGAAAGATTGTCATTTATGATTCCATGGTTTGTATAAAAAAAAGAAAAGAAAGTGAAAATATATTTTTAAGCTTACTTGAATGAATAGCATAATGTGAAAAACAAGACTCTTCCTGCATGTCTCCTTTGCATTGTGTTGGTTATGAAATAATATATATAGTTTATAGATATATTATATTACTAGTACAGTGCATGGTGCTGTTACTTTGGAAGCCTTTAAACATTGTCTTCAGATTGTTATGGTGAATATAAAAGATATAATCCCCGCTGTTAGAAAAAAAAGACAGAAGACTTGAATACAAAATAATTTAACACTTGCAAAGTTTATTTGATTTGCATATTCTCACATCCCTTCCAAATAAACAAAATAAGAGTAAGGTATGGATTTTTGGAGGTTAATTTATGTTTCATAAAACTTAACAGGATAAAAATATTTATTTATAATGTTTTATAATTTTTCAATAATAGTTTGCACTATATTATTCTACAGAATTATTTATTATGAAATGAAGGACTGTGTTACTGTTTTGTGTACTTTTTCACACATAGGATTACTCATTTTCCCACAGATTTATCAGTCCATGAGACATCCCAAATAAAGAATCTGTACCTCCAATAGAAACCAAGCAAGAGTGATTATAAGGTTAAAAAAGAAACCTAAATAAAAGAGTATTATGTATTGCCTATGTTTTACATAGCTGCATATCTGTGTCTAGCAATACTTCTGTTAACTAATGTAGTTCATTGGCAGGTTTTCTGGCCTACAATACCATATAGACTCACAATCAGAAAATATTTATAATTTGGTTTTATTTAATTTGCTATTTATCTTAAGATATAGGTGTTGCAGAAACCCTGAATGCTATCCGAATGTTAAATATGTTGAATTCATGGTGTGTATATATATGTATTATGTGTTAATCTTGCTTTTAAAAACAACTTGAACAATATCCTTAGTAACTGAGTAGGAAGATGAAAACTAAATGTATAGCATTTATTTAGAGTTTAATCTTTTTTTTTAAGCAAGAAAAATAAAGGAAGAGGTGAAAAAGAGGGAGAGCCTCCCAAAAGGGACAGAATATCTAGAGCAAAACCAAGAGTGGTTGAGTTAAAGATACTGAATCCAAGATACCATGAAAGCAACAAAACAGCTAGCTTCAGATTTTTCTTACAGCTGATTACTTGGGGAGGGGAGTGTGTGGGTGTCAGAGTAGATCAAAAGATGGCCATTTTGATTTGTAAATTCTAAGCCTAAATTAGGTTCTTCTGTAATGGTGAAATATTAAACTGTTTAATAATTACAAAGCTGAAAATTCAGTCACAAAAATGTCAAGTGCGAAAATGGCATAAAATTTTAAAACAACAGATGTCAACAGTTTCTTCAAAAAGGTTATAGTGTTTTTAAAAGTCAGTTTTGCTAAATGTAGTAAAGGTGAAACAGATTGTAAAGAGTTGTTGCTAGCAAAATGACAATAAGCAACATAGGAAGGAGAAAAACACTCATAAATGAGGGCTCCAATCAATGGGAAAACTTATAGCTCTCTAATGAAGTTTCTTTTGAAAAGGAGAGCTACACAAAGCCACCAAGACATGAATCATTCATGGCAAATATAAAAGATATCTGACAATGAGCAGAACCTTGTATAGAGTGTATAAAACAAGTTTCCCCTTCTTATTTTCTGCTTTAAAACGCACAATCTTCCACTCCCAGTGTTCTCTGTCCAGTCTATAGAGTTAAAATTGACCACTGCACGTCCTGCGCCACTTCAAAGTAATTTAGTCCAGAACGGAAGGCTTGGCGCTCGGACAATCTTCATGGTGTGTTAAGATTTCTATGGCAATTGGCAACCAAGAAGTTCCCATCTGAATATGTCTCAAAGAAAGCTACTTATTGACACTGCGTTGGCCATCATCAAAGACTTCATCTTTCCTAGGCAAACGTGCCCCTCACAAACACTGTTTAAATCATCTACCTTTGTACTCCATCCGGCTAAGAGACGTCTCAAAACATGATTATTTATAGTTTTTTTAGTTAAAGGTGGTTAAAGCTAGTATTTTTAAACTTTAGCATACTTTTCAAAAAGCTTGAGTGTGAGAATTGTATACTCTAAAGGAGAAAGGAAGGTTCCAAACACACTATGGTTTTATTGGCAGCAGGCAATGTTGACTCACAAGCACTTACCACACACTTCAGCAACATCCAGGCACATCTATTGGTAGTCATTATAGTTACGCTGCAGACACGTCTTTTGTATCCTATGTATATAGAAGCTAGTGGAGGGGAATATTTTTTATTTCCTTTTAAAAAATACAAACTGGGATGTCTATAAGAAGAGGTTTTCTGTCGCAGTTTATGACTTTTTTTTAAACATTCCTTACCTATGAGAAATGGTTAAAGGTCAAATAATCAGGCTAGAGTATTGACTGTATCTTGGAGGGAAAGAGAGAGACATACATAAATATAGATATGATGCTCCACACCCTTACACAGTTCTCCTATCCAGATAGATAAATAGATAGATCTACATCTCATGAACCCCCCCCCCAACAACACACACATCGTAGAAATCATTCCACCCCCACTTCCATGGATCTATAAGAAAAGTCACCTCTTCACCCACCAGGGATCTAACACACACACGTATCCCACTTACATAAACACACATACCCACATGCACACACATAGACACACAAAAACACTCCCATCCACACATTCACACACTATGCCAGTGCCTAATCAGGCAGGGAGAAGTTCAAAGGCACGTTCTTTGAAATTCAAACTACTGCTTTTATGGTACATCAACATGGAGCGTTAGGATTGCTATGGCAATGAACACAGCAGAAGCAAGACGCATTCAAAACAGTCCACCTCGATTCGAGACACTCTATTAAGATACAGTTGCATTGACCTTTACTTTCATGCCATGTTAGTTCAGTCAATTTTCACCTCATCAGAACCTCTCATTTTTTTTTATTCCATCTCGTTCTTTTTTAATATTCTCAGAATCGGCGCCAACTTTAAAAGGGGTGGAGGTGGGGGGGGTAACACATAGAAGAGAGAGATAGAATGAAGAAGAGAAAGGGGAGAGAAAACGTACTGATGTGTGTACGTGTGTGTGCGTGCGTGCGTGTGTGCGGGGGAGGGGAATGATGTTAGAAAGAGAGGGGGAAAGAGAACCAGATCCCCAATTCCTCTTCCTTCTCTCCCCACCTAAGTACTTTTATTTGCAGAGCGATTGTTCTTTGTTTATTTAATACAAGTACTGTGTGAATGGTGAAAAATAAACACGATGAAAAATAACCAAACAGATGATTCCTCCAAGTGAAAAAGCCCGGACTTAATAAAAGTGCGAAG